AGGGATTTGATTATAGTTCGGGAGGAGGAAATCTGGGAGGTGATAAATATATCCAGGATATCGGGACGTTTTTTGAGGGATGTTCGCCAATAAGTAGGACTCTAGACTAGTAAATTGAAATGGAAAGGGCGAGTTGAAAGGATTACAGAAGTTGATTGAATGGCGTCAGTTGGAGTGGAAGGTATAAAAAAATGGGGTAAAGATTTATTTATAAGGATGCAAGAACCGGCGTGGGCAGTGTTGTCTGGATGGTCAGATCTATAAGTGATGTAGTCTCGTGTGTGAAAATGTGTCCGTTTTGTGAAATGCGTTTCAGTCAGTAGAGCTATATCAATGTGATTGTCATGAAGAAATATGTCAAGTTCTTCACGGTGGTTGTTTAGTCCGTTAGCATTCCATAAAAGGATAGTAAGGGGCTTTGTGCTCATCGAGGGAAATTAAACGGAATTTCGGTTAGGATTCTGGTGAGTAGAGTGATAAGAGGGTTTAGGGTGTTTTGGAGGCCCAATAGGAAGGATGATAGAATGGAAGTTATATCAGATGGATGTTAATTGTAAAGTGGATTTAGGATAGGTTCAGGTGGCGGGTAAGGAGTGTTAACTAAGGGTGGGATTCGTTGTTGAGTACGAGGTGGGTCTGGATTCGACGGTACTTGTGCTGGATTTTTTTTCTGGACATTAGGATGAGATGGGTGCGAATGTTGTGGCGGTAATTTGACTCGTAGAGGTAGATGATGAGGGGAAATTTGCTGACGCGGAGGATGAAATATGAGAGGATTGGGAGGGGAGTATGAGGTTTAGCTTGGGAGGCCTGAGGCGCCTGGCGTCGAGGCTGCTGCTTCTTGATGGTGGTATGGGTGCTAGTTTTGGTAGAGTCCTGATGAGGATGGGCGATTTCAGTTGAAGTAGTTGGTTCTTGTGTTAAATGGGTAGTTTTTTTTGGCAACTCGGGGAAATTTGAAATACTTTCAATTTCTGGTGGCTGGGTGTAAGTTTCTTGATTTTGTTGACTGCACTTTAAGGCTATGTTCTGAGTTCTTAACTTACAGAGTTTTTTATAGACTATGCATCCTTTATAGCTTGCAGGATGGTCTTCGCCACAGAGAGCACATTTAGGAGGCTGGTCTCGAGGGATCTGACAAGTGTTAGATGCATGTGGCCCGGCACATCTAACGCACCTCGCCTGATGATAGCAATAGGTCTTTGTGTGTCCCAAGTCTTGACACTTGGTGCATTGAACTATGACAGGTTTTTGTCTAGACTCTTCGAATTTTACTGTGGAATACACAGGCCTCTTAACTTGAAATACGTCAATGTTATTACTTGCAGGCTCCAAATCAACGAAAAACAGTGGCAATGGATATTTTTGCGTCGGATGTAGCACGCATGCTATATGCCTAACGTTATGTCCTATTTCCTCTAGACCAGATTTGATAACCGATATGGGAGTGGTTGAGTGAAAGCCACTCAATACCAACCGATATGCCGTTTCTTGTCACAGTTGATAACAATGAAATTCATATTTTTTAGTCGTAAAATAGTTGATCAATGTTTTATAATTTTCTTTAGAGCTCGTGTTAATCTTAATGTCATTAACCCTAGAAAAACAGCTGAAACTGGTTTGTCCGATAAGATTGGCGATTTCTTGAACGACTGACATGAAATTTTCAATTTTAGAGACAAAATTAGGCTCGGGGTCAGTAAAACCTTGAGGTTCCGGAGGCTTGTTAGGTGAGTTACTACCAAGATCAAAATTATTGCTGGTTGTGGTGTTTGGTTCAGTTGAAGCTGTTTTTGTGGTGTTTGATTTGCTTCTAGTTCTGGGTGGTGATTAACTATTAAAATTACAAGATAAGAATTCACAAACTATTAAAAAAAAAAAATACAAAATTAGAAACAGAAATAAAACAAAAAATTTCTGAGAATAAATAAACATTGAAAAAATAAATAAATAAACTGTCTCTTGGAGAAGAAAAAAAAAATTAAATAAGTTCTGTAAGTCTATAGTTTCGAAATGAGACCAGCTGACGGAAACGAGCTAGTGTACAAACCTTGGCCGTGAACATAACGTAAATAAGATAAGAACGGCAAGGGAATTAACAGCCACATGGGCTATTCAAACGAGCACTAATTTATCACTTCATTGTTAATAAATTGTAACTCACCTCTTTATCCGTGAACTTAAAAATGTTCAACTGTTTATAGTGTCGCTGTTAATCAACTATTAAAACAGAGTTTTGACTAATAAGCACATAGCAAAGTAATAATCACAGAGCGAACTGAAAACTAAACTGCAGCAGCGGCCATGACACTTACTCTAGAAACTAAATGAAATTAAAAATAGAAAAAACACATTCACACCTAAATACAATATTTACATTCGCTAAATGTCTCCCAAAGCAAAACTCCAGGAGATCCCAGGGCTGCTCTCCCAGCCGCGTCACTGGCATTGAAAGCCATAGGAGACTGATGGAGGGCCCTAAAGCATATCTACAAAGGTCGCGAGGCCACTGCCGTTTTAACCTACGGGAAGGATTATAGGGATGGCTGGAGCTTGAAAGGGATTGTGCTACAGGATTTTGATGATGAGTGAGATTCTGGTGAAATTTGGAAAATTTATCTGAGATTAGGTTTTGAACAAATGGGACGTGAAGGTCATTATGGAAGGTTTCATTGGTTACATAGAAGGGAGCATCGACTATTGTTCGAAGGACTTTAGACTGGTAGAATTGAATGCGTTTGATGTTAAAAGGTTTTGCTGTACTTCACAGTTCTAGTCCGTAGGTTCAGATAGGTTTCAGAATTGTCTTGTAGACAATTAACGATGCAGACAAGAACGATCTCTCAAATCGTTCCTTCCAAGTCCGTTGCTGCATCGAATTCTCCACTTACTATCCAGTTGAGGCTGGTGTTCCACAAGGCAGTGTTTTGGGTCCAGTTCTCTACATCCTTTTCATTGCCGATATCCCTTCAACTCCCGATACCTTCCTAGCTACATTTGCTGACGATACTGCCATTCTATCCTCCCACTCAGATCCTCAAATAGCATCTCAAAACCTACAATCTCACCTCTCCTTGATTGAGCAGTGGTGCAACAACTGGCGCATCAAAATCAATGAAGCAAAATGCACACATATTACTTTCACCCTGCGACGCAGATCCTGTCCCACAATCTTTTTCAATTCAATACCACCTCTCTACTCAGATACAGTCCGTTACCTTGGCTTCCTTATAGACAAAAGACTAACTTGGAACCCACATACGAGACTTAAAAGACAAGAACTTAACCAACGATATGGCCAGCTTTATAGACTACTAAGCAGGACATCTCATCTTTAGATTGAAAATTTTAACTTTTAATCTACCAGACAATACTGAAACCTATCTGGACCTACGGACTTGAACTGTGGGGAACTGCTAAACATTCGAATATCAAACGCATCCAATCCTTCCAGTCCAAAGTATTTAGAACAATAGTCAATGCCCCATATTATGTCACAAATAGGACCCTACACCATGACCTTAACATCCCATTTGTCCTCGACATCATCCCATCCAGATTCTCAAACTTTCACCAAAACCTTATCCATCATCCAAATCCTCTAGCTCAATCCCTATCCAGCTCCCACCATCCCTACAATCCCCCTCGAAGGTTAAAACGGCAGTGGCCGGGAGATCTATTGTAAATATGCTTCTGGAGTCCTGGCAATGGCCAGCTTCTCCACTCAAGTCCTGAGCATCTGTGGCTCTAGTGTCCTCCTTCAGCCTCCACTGGCTTTTAATACTAGTGATGCGGCTGGAAAAGAGGCACTGGGATCTCTGGAGTAATGCTTTGCCTTCCACATGTGGGGGGAAAAGCCTGGCTCGGAGATTCCTGGGCAAAGGTATATATTGTATATAGGTATGAATGTGTTTAGAAGTTTTTATTTTATTTTGTTTGTTTATTTTTTTTTTTTTTACTTTATTTTTTTTTATTTACTTTTTATTTTTTTTCTATTGCTTTACATTTTTTTAGAAGTATTATTTATTTACTTTTTATATTTATAGTTACTTCTTTATTACTTGTATATACTGTATGAATGAGAACTTCTAGCCTCAATACTTCTAGCCACTTTTTCGTTTTTGCAGTACCTCATAAGTATTTGGTGTGAAAAAGGGAGACTCCTCAGTCGTCTCCTGAGATGTACCCGGCTGAGGTTGAGGGTCTTCTGCTACTTTAGTAGCAAGTGGCGTGATTCTTTTCGATTGGCGACTTCTTTTTTCGCAGATGACGAACGTGGTTTGAGCAGAGCGAAGCATCGTTGTTGCACCCTTAGAAGACATGAGTTGATGGTAGTATCTCATAACACATCAAGAAGAAAGTGAAGGAAGAAAAAAAATTAAAACACGCTGCATGACATTCATTTTTTTTTTTTTATCAGCGTCGCAAAAGAACCGCTTCCGGTTAATTTCCAAGCCCAACTGACTAGTCTGGGCCAGGTACTTATGAATGCGAGATAATGGGACTGGCCTCTATACACCTTCTTCACTTCACAGAACTGTACACAATAAATAACAACTGTACTCATTGTGACATTAGTGCATATTATGGTCCAGGTGATTAGCTCACGTAGAGTCACAATTTTATTAAAAAATAACGCTAATTTCTTTAGAAAAAGTGAATATAGGTAAGAGACGAGGTAACGTAAATTGAATCTAAGACGCTTCGAAGCACATGGTCTGTAAACAGTACACTCTTAGAGTAACTCTCGTTGGTAAGGCATCAGCGACAGTTATCCTGCTATTGCTGCGCAGCGAGCCCAGGTAGTTAATAGAACACGAAAATGCTACATAATTATATGTTTATTTTAAAATCTTGTTTTCTTACAACGTTATGTAAGCAATTATATGAATTATAAAAACTTAATAATCATCTCTGTAATACTTATGATCCAATATGTAATTTGCAGTCAGTAGTCTCATAAATAATGAAAAAAAAAATCGTTAATGCCAAATACATACCATCTTCATCTGTACCAAGAAAACTACGAAGTACTCGCTTGGATACGGGTCCTAGTGATTTCTTTGTAGTTGCTTTTTTATAGTCATCCTGCACAACTTGTCTGAAAAAAACACAAAAAATAAAAAACAAATACCTCTAATAGATGAGCACGAAGTAAAAATAAATAAAATAAAGTAAAATATAAAGAAAAAAAAGATTTATATATTCAATCTAAGTAAAAATTAAAACATTTATAAAAGAAATTTTAAGTAAATAAATAAATTCAGCAACTTTATGAACATAAAATTCTCGTAGGACAAAAACGACATGGTATTATAAATATATATAAATGTTTATAAGTTCATAAGAAGAAAAAAAAAGATATATATATATATATATATATATATATATATATATATATATATATACATATACGAGTATATAAAAAAATAATATATTCGTAGCAATGGAAGGGAATTCCTTACGTTAGCAGAGCGGGCAACGAAGGAGTTTTAAAAAGAGGCACATCAGTGAAAAGGTTTATAAAGGTCAGAAGGTAGGGATCTTGTGGTAAGAGAGTGTACCGAGGACTTGAAATGAAGAATAGGAAGGATCATAAGCATAGGAAGACGATGGATGTTGATAATCTGATGTATAAATGTGCCTAGGAAGTATTGTCTATGGAAGAAAGAGAAGGGTGGCTAAAGCAAGAAGGGAACCCAGGCCCAATTATAGTAAGATTCGTCAGACAAGTAGTGAGAGATGAGCTGGTGCTGGAGCGAAGAGCAAGGAGAGATTTACACGGTGGACCAGACCCCCCTATCGTGTACCCCCCCCCCACATCCTTATAAATTGCATATCGTTGTGTTCCATGTAACTATTTATTTAAAAAAAGCCAATGTTCCTACAAAAAAAAGTGAACTTACTGCCCCAAAATGGCGTCCAAAGATGGCGGATTGACGACTTTGACTTTAGTTAGTTTTATTGTCACTGAAAATCAGCACTTGGCTTAATTTCCTCATGGTTGGTCTTTTATTAAAGCTGAATAGTCAGTGAATAATAAAACATTAACAAATATTAAAAAATAATTGGCTTAGGCAATAAAAAACACCAGTAAATTCAAAAAGTGTAACAAAAAATTTTAAAGTTGAAAATAAAGCGTCGTTTGTAATTAAACGGCCAACAATAAGGCGAAATGTGCTGAAGAAATAAAACATCTGGATAATATATTTTTCCTCATAAAACACTGATTACTTTTTAAAATATTAGAAGCAGTTCCGTAGAAAATGCACTTATGCGGGAGAAAAACGGTGCCGGCGTAGGTGCCTACAAGCCTTAGTTACAATGATATAATAACGTTTTTGGTACATTATATTGGTTTTATTAACGAAAAAATATTAATGCAATAATGTAATTGTCCAAAAAAAATTAAACAATTTTTTTTTAATTTATTGTTTTATTTTATTTTTTATTTAACTTACTTTATTCTGTAAGGAGGTCGTTTAAGTAGACATCTTGAATTATAAAAATGATATAATTGTAATAATCATAAAACTTAATTAAAAATACCTTTGCTGAATATCTTGAATTTTTTATTTAACCTTTGCAATTTAACACTTTGTTTTATATATTTACTGATTCTTAGAAGTAATTTAAATTGTATATATACTTTCCTTAAGATGCTTCCTCCTTAAGATGCTGCTAAAAGGGAGTCAAATGCAGGAGAAGTATGGATGATCAAGATCATTAAGGGATGATGATGGATGGTTAAGGGGACGATGCAGGTTTATTATGGTGAAGGCCATTTTATCAGCAAGAAAGATTTGTTCGAAACAATTGATAAGTCGGGTGGTCTGGACAAAGTAAACCAAACTGCTGCACGTACATAGGCAACAAATGTATTAGAAAAAAAGAAATCTCTGAAGAAGGAAAAGAAAATTTATAGTAGACAGATGTATGTAGATATTTAAATTTCCTATATTCTTATGATGTGATCCAACTTCCAAACAATTTATTCTGCAATTTCATAACAATAAGTTCTACCTAACAACCCGGCAACTATTCATTATATGTTGTTCAGATTAGGTATATGTTATTTTAGTTTATAAAACAGGTCTTGATATGACTCATTTCCTGGAAAGTATATAAATTTAAATTACCTCTAAGAATCAATAAATATACAAAACAAAGTGTTAAATTGCAAACGTTAAATAAAAAATTCAAGATATTCAGCAAAGTATTTTTCAATTAAGTTTTATTATTATAATTATATCATTATTACAATTATATCATTTTTATAATTTAAGATGTCTACTTAAACGACTTCCGTACAGAATAAAGTAAATTAAATAATAAAAATAAATAAAACAATAAATTAAAAAAAATTGTTTACATTTTTTTTGACAATTAAATGTTTGCATTAATATTTGTTCGTTAATAAAACCAATATAATGTACCAAAAAGTTATTATATACGTTATAACTAAGCCGTTTATGTGTACAGAATGGTGTAATATTTGTTAATGTTTTATTATTCTCTGACTATAAGTGTTACAAGGAACACAACGATATGCAATTTATAGGGATGTGGGGAGGGGGGTGCACGATAGGTCTGGCCCACAGACTAATTTATCTACACACCATCTAGGCTAGGGAGAAACCGACTTGCGTCTATGTGAGTGAAGCCATGACGCCCGCCAATAAACTCCTTTATTGGTTAGCCAGAGAGAAGTGGGTGACTGCAAAATTAAAATATATTTGGATTAGTGGGGGTAAAATACGTTGCAGACAATCAGATGGATACACAGTAGTAATTATAGAAAAACCAAGTGATCTGGACGTTTTCAGCTTAACGCCGTCTCTAAGTTACGCTTTGAGTTTGTATTCAATTTATTTTTTCTCGCCAGAAATATTTTTTTATCTTCAGGTTTTTTTATTTCTGTATAAATGTAGCTTTTTTTGTATACATTTTTCTCATCGAAAATATTTTTATTTTCATGTTTTTTTATTCTTGTATAAATTATTTAGAAGTTTATTTGATCGTTTACCAGAGCAGCCAGGATTACGAAATAGGATCCCACTACCATTGTTTTTCGTGGACTTGGAGCCATCACCAGGTATCGAAAAAATATATGATATCACAAGAATATACTACACAATGGTGAAAGTTGAGAAGCCATATCCCAAGAGAGACATCGTGCAGTGCCATAATTGTCAGACCTATGGCCACACGAAGACATATTGCCACCATCTGCCGCGTTGCGTGAAGTGCGGTGAACAGCACAAATCTGTAGAGTGCACCAAACCTATTCAAGATCCAGCAGTATGTGCCCTATGCTTGGAGGGACACCCGGCCAACTACAAAGGCTGCCAAATTTACAAGAATCTCAAAACCAGACACCAGAAAAACCGGATTCAAGATGAAGCATTAAGAACAAGAAGAGAGAGAGAGCCTTCCAGAATTGTAAACAATGATGTATCATTCTCCCAACTACTTAGAGTTAATACTTTAACCGATAAATGTCAAGCCCTGCCACAACAACAACCTCAAACCCAACCTCAAAATCCTCTTCATCCTAATATACCTAACCACCAACAACAAATTCCTCATATTCCTCCTCCTTCAAATGCAACAGATCTCACAAGTTTGTTAGCATCTTTCCTCACCGATTTCAAATCCCTTGTTACTCCACTCACATCACTCCTCACGAATCTCGTATCTCACCTCATCCCTCCTTTGAAAAATCCTTAAATGACTCACATCCCTAAACCCATATCCATTCTCCTTTGGAATGCGAATGGTGTTAGAAATCATACAGACGAACTATCTACTTTACTACTTGACAAGAACATTGATGTGGCACTAATTACTGAAACTCGACTAACCACTAAACAGCACTTCAATATACCACAATACCTGACATATCGTACTGACCACCCTGACGGAAAAGCACATGCCGGTACTGCTGTAATTGTACACCAATCCCTCTCCCATCACGTACTCCCATTACCAATACATGATTTCCTACAGTCCACCGCTATCGTGATAAAAACCTTCTCCTTTCCGGTCACTCTTGCATCAGCGTATTGCCCTCCTAACCGATCCATATCCAATGCCCAATTCAGTTCTCTCCTCGACTCCTTAGGACATCACTTCATCTTGGGTGCAGACCTAAATGCCAAGCACCAACAATGGGGTTCCAGAACCACGTATTCTCGTGGCCGAACCCTGCTGTCTGCACTCAATTCCCAACGTTTTCACCTCCTTTCCCCCAACTCTCCTACCTACTGGCCCACAGATCCCAACCGTAATCCTGATCTTCTTGATTTCTTTATCCACAGCGGCTTAAGTCCCCTCAATTGTTCCATTACACGTCTAAATGAACTTTCCTCTGACCATAGTCCTCTAATCCTTAATGTTTCACTTGAACCTGTTCCCAAACCTTCTCCACCGTCATTCATTAGGGGCCCAGTAAACTGGGACCTTTTCCGCCAAATAATCTCCGATAATATTGATCTCAACATATCCCTCAAAACTCCCGATGACCTTGATAGTGCCGTAAATTCCTTTACTACCACAATCCAACAAGCCACCTGGACTGCCTCCTTCCCAAAAGACTCCTCCAGAATTCCTATAAAGACCATTCTACCCCAACACATCCTTAACCTAATCCGCACCAAACGCCGTGCCAGATTATTATGGCAACGTACCCGACATCCTACCGACCGCTGCTCCTATAATTACTACTGCAAACAATTAAAACTGGAATTAGCCACCTTCAGATCACAATCCTTCAACTCCTACCTATCCTCCCTCTCTTCTCGCGACAATTCCCTTTGGAAAACCACAACAAAAATCCTAAATCCTCACCGCATTTCCCATACTCTCCGACGAGGTGATGGCTCCTGGGCAGCATCTGACGAAGATAAAGCTGAGGAGTTCGCCATTCACCTATCCAATACATTTATTTCACATCCGGAATCCCATCCTGCCCACACCGTAACAGTAGAAGAACTCCTTACATCACCAATCCCACTTTCCTTGCCCCCAAAAGCTATTCATCCTTCCGAAGTAAAATTTCAATTAAAAAAACTAATCCTCCGTAAAGCTCCTGGACATGAT